ATCATAATGCTACTTCATTCATTAAACACCAAAAACATTTCTTCTGGCTTTTAAAGATGATGTTGATTTTTGATGAAGAATTTGATTTCATGATGTAACCATGTGACTGCCCAGTACTCAACTTTATCTTTAAACTATTCTACCTTTCATAATCAGCATTTGTGGCTTTTGATTGAAAGCTCATTATGTACATAAAATGGAGTCATCCCACTGCCTTGAAAATCTCATATAATTTCGAAGAATCCCCTAGGGATAATGCAGCATGAATCATAACCCAATGCGAGCATAAATCGTCTTTGACGGACTGCGGTGGTCAGTCCGTGAGCAGTGGCAGTCATCTAAATCAAATTATTGAGAGGTTTAGTATTGAGGTCGTGACTAATTGATAGCATGCAACAGGAATGAGTAAGCCAAGACAGATCCGAGGGTGGATGGGTGGATAGTTCCGGCTAGCTCTTCAAAGAATGAGTATCTTGAACCGTTTTTAGAGATATTCCATGTGCTACAATACACATTTAAAAAATGTTTAGTAAAAAAAATTTGCCTAACATAAGAATAATTGTGTGGATCATACACATCAATCTTTGCTTGATTTGTAAAGCGAAATATGATTGTGATTACCGGTAGGAAAAATGTAACCTAAATTGATTGCTCTCATATTGGAGAATATTTTACCCATTATTTTGAAGGGTAGCAAAATGGCCCGGGGCAGGGACATGTAGTGTTCAGGTCTCACCTCTTCCATAAATTTCCTAGAACAATTGATTAATGAAGCCTCTAATGTTCAGGCCTACGTACGTGTCTGTAGTTAGGGTTTGTAAATTCCCGTTTTGGTGATGTAAAAAGAGGATAAAAGTGTCTTGTTATGAGCATATTCAGATATTTTTTTCATAGGTTTTCAGTGCTTTGATTCAGTTCAATTCCATAATGGTTTTGTTTAACATAGATGAGAAAATACATTATTCAAACGTTACGGACAACTTTGTATATGCAGTAGCTTTGCAGATGATGAGCCCTGGAAAGATAGTACCGGTATGTAGGTTTAAAATTATAATTTGTATGTGCATCTAAGAAAGATATGCTGATATTCAGCCAAAAAGTGTGACAGTCAACAATTCAGAAATTCAAGATTTGCTTGAGGTTTGAGTATAGAGCCCAGATAGTTCTCACATATGCAAAGATAAATGCTTGAGAGAAAAATATGGTTGAACATGCCTTATTAGGAAAGATGGAAGATCAAGTTTCCTGTGTCAATAGGATAGAAAGAACAGCCTCTTTTACTGGGGTGGTTTGCTGTCATAGAGTAAACATTTATTGTACTTGTAAAAAGTGCTCATGTGGTGTTTTAAGCAAGAACATCCAAGCATGAATAACATCCCTCAAAGGGACACACCTTAAAAATACACCCCTTAAAAATACACCCACGATTGATTGAAATAAAGGTTTGGCTGAACTAACAGTATTCTTGGATTACTTGTTCAGGTTTCTTGTGGTTTCTTCTTCTTGAGTACCTTCTGTGAGACTTTTGAAGAGTATTTGTTTTCCTAGCTGTCACAAATCACAGTTTAGGAGAATAAATGTCGAAACATGTCAAGGTTTGTGTGTGTGTGTGTGTGGGGGGGGGGGGAGCTTACTGCGGCTACACATGTTTCTGCTGTTTCTGCTACTCCATCCTGTCAAAGTGCAAGAGAGTGAAAGATATCATCTGCAGAGAACCAGGATGGCATCGAATAAGAGCACTGTACATAGAATTAACATCACTCTGGCTTTCAAAGTATGAATTGTATGAATTGTATGGAGAACTTTCCATTTGCCAAGAGCTAGAAGGGCATTAAAGGTAAAGACCAGTATTGGAAACGCCCCAATTTCAAAAAATGAAATGGAAGCTCTCATTACCAACCATGTGAAAGAATATGTTTTGACTAATACATGATGATACAAAATTTGCCGGGAAACTGCCTACTAATTCATATATTTGGTAAATTTGTTTCTCTCATGGTCTGTGAGAGATATAGGGTAGTCCCATATACATCTTTCTGTGTATAGTGCTTGTAACTTTACGAAGAATGGGCCAAATTTCTTATCATTATGATGATTCCAGAACCTTGCAGATGCTAGATGCTAGATGATCAACCTTTTCTGATCAATTCCACAACGTTTCTTTCACAATGCAATCGCATGACCATAACTGGTCTTTACCTTTAACTCATAGCACTTTACTTCTGACACCCAATAGATTTTTTTTATTAATTAATTATATGAAGAATATTTTGTCTGCCGAGAGCCAGAAAATATATAAACAAATACTATTTAACATAGAGTGAACATCCTGCTAGCTTTCAGCAGATTAATTATCTCTGTTGAGTGAAAGAAGGATGTCAAGTATTACACTTTAACACTAATTATAAACACCCTTCTTGCTATCAACAGACAGTTGATTCCACATGGTTGCCTCTCTTCTTCAGGAGGCTAGTCAAGTGTTAAATTAAATTAATTCTCACATCATGGAATCACTATGCCCATGCCAAGTTTCAGTTGGCTTACTTGTTGCTCTTTGAATTATGTGATTCCTGCAAATAAACAACATCTTTTATTATTTCCCTTAAAACTTTAGAAAATGATATTTACATGCCCCAGAAATGATGGTATGTGATTTACTTTATCTGAAATGTTGAGAATGTAGTCTGTTTAGAGCCAGAGAAGGATGTTAACTCTGTATTATAATATATGATTGTAATTTGTTAACGCCCTCCTGGCTTCAAAGAGACATTGTGTCATTTTTTATTTATTATTTTTTTTTTTGGGGGGGGGGGGATGGGGAGAAGAATGTTTCAGGTGCTCTTCATGTTCAAGGTTAATGTGATTGATGACTTGAATGATTGACTTATATTGATAGTCATTTAGCTGTACGTGATATCACTGAAATTACACAGCACTCAATTGTGACCTTCCAGGCAGCCGAAAACTGTATCAGAAAGATAATATTGTTTTGTCTGCTGTGTCGAGCCAGAGGAGGGCAAGCTCAAAAACATAAATACCCTCTCTCTCTCAACAGATGATGTATTTCATCATTTATATTATCAGACTTTATTGCCAGAGATAAAGTTTTGTAGCAGGATCGTGTTGAAGACAAGGGCATGAGATCACAAAACTGAATCATCCATAAAAAATAACTACCCACCAGTATTATTTTGACCAATATCATATGATTTACTTTTATTGTTTATGGAAGGCGCAATACAAAGTAACCTTGCCCTAATAGTTCCTCTCACCTTCAAATGCATCCATGGTCTTGCTCGTCCCTTCCTATCTGACCTCAAAACTATCAGGCATCCATCCAGGTACTCCTTTCACAATCATTGTTGAAGGTTGATAAAAAAACTGCGTAATTTTTGTATTCAATGTTACTTGTCATATTCCTTCTACTGTACTTACCCTCTAACATGCAGACAATCCTGAAAAAATTCTCAAATCACAAAGATATTTTTGGTTTTCTTTAAAGGCGTCACACTCGCCTTTTAACAGTAAATTCTCCCAACTATTTTTGACTTTTCCCAACCGTTTTTCCGTAAAAATAAGACATAAGAAAGGCTTTAAAAAATCTTTCAACACTTGATTGTCTGGCATGGTATATAGAGCCTATTCATTACTTTGTGGCGATTTACATTCACCTAAAATATAATTAAATTGTAATGATATAGTTAGGAGAATAAAGAAACAGATCAAATCAGTTTTTCCCAATTTTTGTCATTAATAATGGTTTGTTTTCACTCAAAACTTTCAGATTATCTTTAATTGTACATCTAGCATTGAAGTCACTACCTTAACACCATTTTCTCTCACCTGAACAATGTTACCAAGTCCCTTTTAGGCATCACACTGGACTATTCGTCACCCAAGATGCTACCCACACTTGGTGACACAGCTTTCACAACTGCTGCTCCCAAAATGTGGAATAACCTACCCAGATTTCTTCGCAACCAGCGATCTCTCAATACCATAACAAAATATCACAAAACTTACCTCTTACGTAATTACATAATTGTAAAGCGCATTTGAACATGTATATGAAAATGTATTATATAATTACATTATCATTATGTAAGATGAAATAATAATTCAATTTATTGAGAGCCAGAAAGGCATTAAATCTTGATATGCCACACAAATAATATCCCCAGTGCCAAATTGTATTTATCTTACGCGCATGTAATAGAGTACCGAAGCTGTGACGTCAAACAAATCTATTTTTAGAATTTCTCAATTTTTTCTTCATTTTCCGAAAGAGCATCAAAAATAATGTCCAAATGTCGAAAACCAAATGAATATATTAAGTATTGGCTGAGATATGACCAACTGAATGAATACCGTATATGTCCTATGGGAACTCAGTGTTATGTGCTCTGGCTCCTAATGGTTAGGAGCCAGAGCATATAACACTGAGCTCCTATAGGAAATATATTCATTCAGTTGGTCATATCTCAGCCAATACTTAATATATTCATTTGGTTTTCGACATTTGGACATTATTTTTGATGCTCTTTCGGAAAATGAAGAAAAAATGAAGAAATTCTAAAAATAGATTTTTGATGACGTCACACTTCACCACTCTATACGCCCCTTTTTTAAATGATTCAAACCTTTATAGTCACCTATATAATTCATGTGCTGAGAGAGAGAAAGGGTATGATTATGTTTCACAGTTTTTGTGTTGTGTTTTATAGATTTTTTTGGCAACATTTGCTCCTTGCTTTGTTTCATCAAAGATATAGGGTTATGGTTGCTGTTGGGTTTTGTGTAGGTCTAGGGTGAAAGTTACGTTAAATGTTTGTCCGGGGTCAACCTTAGAAATACAGGTAATCTTGGAAATCGACAGTGCATGTGTTATTAAAAGCCATTACAAATATGTGTTGTCATCAATGTTCAATAGGTTTTTGTGTTTGTTTATCTTTATTTGCTTTATTCTAATACTGTTTATCATTTCTTTTTGTATCTTCCAGACCAAGACATTGCCAAGCCAGAGAGCCCTAAGAAAAACCATACTCGATGTTTACAGACTGACAGATCAAAAATAGTGGTCTTTACAGTCCTTATATCCTTCCTTCTCATCATATATGATGGATTGCAGGTAAGAGTTCAGATCAATAATGTTTCAAGCGTTATGCTTCACTCAGATGTGATAGACTAACATGTGTTACCTGTCTACAAAATATTTCTGTTGTAAAAATATGAAAATTAGCATATTGTTTGCCAAAAAAAGTCTAGATTTCAACACATATATTGAATGATATGTGTAGAAACTTTGCATTTACTGTGCGCAGATGCAATGTATGCACATTCTCCACTCCCGGGGGATCATTGGAAACATTAAGCCAGATGCCATTTTACCAAGTAATCTACAATAACTTTCGCATCCTACTGGGTACCCATTTAACACCTGGATGGAAATAATTTATGTAGATATAGAAAGCCTTGCCTGATGATGTGTCATGCAGGGGATTGAATTTATGTATGTCGCATCCCCGTTCAAGTGCTTAAACCACTCGACTCCAATGTTTCTATCATGTCCATAGTGCTGCTGGTAACACTTCAATACATCCAATCTCATATATGCATCTCAGTGCTAAAAGCCCCGTTCACATACGATGCAGCAAATGCCGTGGTTCTTTTTTTAATGACAATATAAATTGTGGTATGCTTCACATCCCTGTATCTTATAACACAAAGCCAAGTAAGTACGCGTTGGACCTTTGTTTGAAAGCGCAGTTGCCATTGATTTACATGTAATCTAAACATTTTGCTTGCCATGGTTGACCATGTCATATCTGAACGAAGCTTTAGGGTCATGGTACTTTACTCTAGATTGGAAGAATGGGACATACTAATCAACAGCCATGATCATGCATTCTTTGTAAGTATGTTCTACCCTGGGAGGGAGGGAGGGAGGGAGAGAGGGAGAGAGATGTCATCGGCTCAGAGCTAGACGAGCGTTGACTCCTATCATAAACACAGGTTGAATGCCCTTCTTGCTCTCACTAGATGATGTGTTGCCCGATGCGAAAGAGTTGCTGAAGGGCGAACTAATGCAGGGGTTAAACATGATGAAGCTGATTTGGGTTTAACGGGAGAAATGAATTACCTTTTACATCAGGTATATTTAGAGAACAAACATAAATGCATATTGTGAGTTCAACGACAGCTCATATGCAGCAGTAAAGCCAACCAAAATAGACACGTTATAAAATTAGCTCCTCCAAAATGTCAGTTTTAACATATTTTGTGAGGGAGGAATTTATATTAACTACCAATCCAAGTATGCAAACTGGTAATGTAATGTAATTTCAACAAGCCACATTACTTAATCCTATTGTTTTAGAAAAAATAGAGAAAATTTGATTAATGCTTGTGCTTGTTACAGTCATCAAAATAGAAACAATTATATTTGTGGTAAGGAAGTGGAGCATATAATGTGTACTACATATTTTCAAACCAAAACAGACCAGCCCGGATAATTATACAGGTAGTTTTGTTGAGGTTTGATTTTCTACCAATGTGCATACACCGTCATATGGTCAAGTTCAATGTACTTTATTCATTGTGTCTACCCCCAAAATGACAAGCATAACACTTTGACAAAAAATTCTATATTTCAAAGGTTGGTTTGAGACCATAGTTTGGCGAATTTGACACCATTCAAGTGTTTTAATACCTAATAACAGGTGTTAAATCACCAGGATTAGCATTCAGTTTTTTGACCATCAGGCCTAATGTTATGCTCTGCATTTTTCACACATCCCCACATATGTGGTAAAGTCATTGCCAGCTAGTATCTTAAATTTCCCTCACCCAAATACTGTCTGAGAGACTAGGGGTAATTCTTGATGGGATCACAGGTTTACTGTGTGCGAGAGTTGTACACCCATTACTGGTATTTATTATTATCAAGTCTGGTGTCAGCAAATTATAGCCTTCTGCACATGGAAACTTACACCCATCTCCCTTTAAGGTAAGGGGATTGCATACAGTCTCAACTCGAGTGCAGATACACCTTCCTCTTTGTATCAATCCATGCTTAATGAATAAAAATAATAAATGTCACATATAAATCTACCATTAATTGCATGAAAAGGCCGGTAGAATTTTTTTGAGTTAACAAAATTATTTTTTAGGACAGTATAGATGATGGTATCATAAAGTAGTTAACAAATTAAACATTTTCTTGTTCTCCTGCAGGCTGCGTACGGAGGATACATCTTTGAATATGCTGTCAAGAACATCGCTATTAATCTCTCGGCGACAGATGGAGCCTATCTAACATCTGTCTACTGGGGGAGCTTTGCACTCGGAAGATTAATATCCATCCCAATATCCACTTTCTGCTCACTGTCTGTCATGTTAATGGTTAATCTGGTGAGTAGTCATTTCCACATTTTTAAAACATTTAGATGCAATTTAAAAAAATGAATTAATTTTAAATCCTATTTAACCTTTCAATGAATTCCAGAAAAGCAAGTTATCATCTTTCTTTCATTGAGTGATCTGCAGCAGAGTTTTCAACCTAAGGAGGAGTAGATCTAAACCTGTATATGGTACCATTAAAAGTATGCAAACTAAATATGAGTATTTCTATAACCCTATATATGGCCTTAAAAATATGATTAAGTGAAGAGATCTAAACCTGCATATAAGGAGACTTTACACTGCTATTGGTTGTGGTGCCCATTAGGCCAGAAATTCTCACTCAGAGAGCCCTTATGTAATTATGATTCCAAATGATGTGAAAGAACTCCTCTGAAATTATGTGACATTTGTGAAAGGCATCTTCTGTGAATTGAAGATTGTGAAACATTAGTTCTTACCACAACCTTTTTGAGTAGGGCATAGCTCCAATGTACGGTGCTGTTTGAATGTCATGTATATTTGCTAATGTGAAAGAAATGGGAAAATGACAGCGTAATTCTCTTGGGAATATATCATCAGAAAAGCTATTTACTTTGAATCTTCAGATTCTGACATGAATTCTAAAAAGTAGCAGAAAATAGAAGGCAATTTAGATGATGGTAGGCTTATAGATCTTTCCTGTTTGCACCTTGTGACTTTTGTGCGTGTCTTATTTTTTGTGCTGGATAAAAAAGAATCACACCTGTATAGATTAGAGGAATTGTATCTATCAAATAAGTATTCTTTGAAGTAGTCAACTTGGAGTCTTGGACTTTTAACAGTTTTTGCACATTATGCTTAATTACAATTCACCTTGTCTTGAGTGCAGGGCTCAAATTAATTTTTTGTCCACGGGGGCTCTTCCCCCCCAAAAAGAGCCCCCGCGAGCCTTCTCACGGGGGCTCTTTTAGTACTGACGGGGGCTCTTTTTAATACAAATATCCATTGAATTGGTACCTTTGATACTCTTCAATTATTTGCTATTTCATCATTATCATTTCAATCAGCATTTTCCCTCTTACAAATTTACTAGCTACATAGCTGTTACTGGCCTGTGTATATAATATAAACGCATACAACACTGATCTTTATGATGTCTTTAACGTGACATATCTTCTTCTCCCCTTGCAAACGAGAAAGAAAACAAGGTCATTAAAAGGGATTAAGCGACAAATAATGATTGTGATTCAAATTGATGCGAATATTTGTTTGAATAAGCACTGCTATTCACCCGAATCTTCTTTGTAAAAACAACTTTTACAAATCTCAGCCATGCTTACTGAGTTGAGACGTTCCATTCAATGTAAAATACTCATTAAAGAATACACTTCTCCTAATCTGAAAGTGATCTTACAACACAGTGGCAGATTTGCATGGCTGGGATTTGTAAAAGTCGTTTTTAGGGGAGGGGGTTATGCGTGTTACCAAAATGTCCGGTAAAGGGGTACTTTTCGTGCGACAAAGTCCGGCCCGAGAATTGTAAAAAAAGGGGTGTTTTAACTTTTCACCCGGAGATTTCTTTAAAAAGGGGTGTTTTTTCTTTTTTTCTCTCATCTCTTTGGTCTCCTGAGAAATTATTCCGAATTTAGGTGGGTACATTGAGCATTTTTCATGAATAAGGGGGTCTCCAAGGCAGGAAAACCCCTCGAAAACCCCTCGAAAAGCCCGCGAAAAGCCCGCGAAAGGGGGGTTCGGAAATGTTGGCAGTCCTCAGATAGGGGGTGCTTTCAAAAAGAGGGAACAAGCATAATGCGTACCCTAAATAACACTGAGTGGGGGGCCGGGGTTTCTGCCCTTGCTCGATCGCCTCCAGCTCCAGCAGACATGGCGCGGCAGCGTGCACACGTACCGTTACTAATGGTGCAGTAGGCCTATAACCACTGCTGACGGCGGCACTGCACTGCGAGCTGAATCGGTAATAATAGGCCTACTCATAGAACGGGAAATCTTGCACGCTAATCTAAGTTCTATTTCATTGGTTTAAGGTTTGAAAATTGAAACTCAATATTGTGTTAAAGTTATAACAGAAAAGATAATCTTTATTTTATAATTCCACGGGGGGCGATTTTTAATTTTGCAATCGCCCCCGTGAGCAACCTGACGGGGGCGATTATGTAGCTCACGGGGGCGAATCGCCCACCGCCCCCGTGTATTTTGAGCCCTGCTTGAGTGGGAATCTGTTGAGTACTGGCTGATGATTGTGCAATCAAAATTAATACCAGGTAATAATAATGACACTTGTCTTGCTGTTACATTTTAATGAGAGTGTATTCTCTGAAATCTTCTTGCTTGGCAACTGATAATTTGAACCTGCAGAAAGATATTGTCACACGCAATATGCGACCACGCAGAAGACTTGGAATGCAAATTAAAGTGTCCTACATTGATCAGCACTGATCATTCTGTATGCTTTCAGTATGACTATTAAGAATTGGAAACACTTTCATTGTATTAAGTGTGGTAAAAATGTTCACAATACTTTATCACAGTGAGACTAAAGTGTGCCTCACTGTGCATAAAGAATATCACAGATAGTTTCATAGTCATTAGCTGTGTCAAAGCTAACCACACCTCTTTCTCACAGTGACACAAAGTGTGTGTCACAGTGCATAGCAAGACACAGTATCTTGACCGCAGTGTAACTACATCGGATTATTCAAACCATTTCATAATATCGCCTGTGGTTAAAATGTTCACACTTCTTTATCACAGTGAGACTAAAGTCTGCCTCACTGTGCAAAGAATACCACAGAGTGTAGTCACAATAGTGTGACCACAGAGAATATGGAAACACTTTCATAGTTATTAACTGTGGTAAAACTAATCACACATATTGTGTCTAATTTTCAATGTGTGTAGATAGGATCACATCATCCCAGTGTACTGACCAACGATGTGGCCACCTAGAATTTAAAAGAACAATCTGCTTTAACTATTTTCTTTCATGGTTATATGCGTTGCTCATAGAGAAAATTATTTAGCTGGCAACAGAAAAATTTGAACACATTTAAGGTGTTGTCTGTGGTTAAATCGTTAACACTTATTTCTCACAGTGTACAGAGTGAATATAAAACTCTTTGACAGGGATACTGTACTGGTTGCACACAGTTCCACACTGATGACAGGTAACACAACATATACTACCATATTTGAAAGCAATGTGATTAGGATATGTCATATCACGAATGCAGACTAAACACACACAAAAAATCTATATTATTGAATATTCTTTCATGGTGTTATTAAATTTGCAAGGTTTCTCTTGCAGCTGTTTAAAAAATAATTGTGATTGCTCGAGCTAATTCATGGCCAAAATTCCTGTAGGTGTTAACACAAGCACACAGACTTTGTACTGAGGTCCAATCAATTAAAGCATCTTTGTATCTACATGTGTGTATGTATCTCTTATGACACAAGAGGTTGAACCTTCTGGCTCTTAAGAGATTCAAGACAAAACTTTTTTTCTCTCTCCTTACATAAAATACAAAACTACATAGAAACATGCAAACTTGCTGAACATCAGAACAGAATTCATTCATATTTGCATAGTATGTTTTTTTAAGTCATTCTTCGACACATTTTAATATTCTGTTTTTATATTTCATTCCAGTGAATAAAAAATGTGAATTATGGTAGTAATACCAGTTTTTTGAAAATGTCATAATGCTAAAGTTTGGCTTGTTAACTGATCATGCCTATATTATGCAAGGTCCAGTGCTGTATATATCAAATCCATAAAAACACAGTTTAAGAAAGTATACAATACAGATTATATACAATATATATAGAAAACAGAGAACACACACAAAATGGAAACATGTCTACAAATATCGAGAACTATTAAAAGTTAATCAATACAAATGACTTGGGGGCCGGAAATAAAATTGTAAGGTTCTGTTGACTTATTTTTAGGTATATATTTTATTGAAATCAACTAACTCTCTCTCTCCCTCCTTGGGCTATTCACATGGATCATCTTTTGTATAGTCATACAATGTATTGAAGGAGAAATCTCTGTTATGTCATCCGACCTGATTGAGGGATTAGAACAGTTCTGAAGCCTTGTAATGTTTCCAAGGAACCTACCTTTATAACATTCACCAGACAATTACAGATATCCTTTGTATGAGTCTCATAGGAAATCTGCTGAAAACCCCTCATACACCCTGTCCCAGAGGGTTGTGTCACTCCAGTAGATTCACACAAACAAGACTTTATCATGTCCAATTTGGCATTATGGCTATAGAGTTGTTGCTTGATTCAAATTTGATTGCAAGTGACCAAGATCGTGCTATGTTGGGAAGTGTGAAAAGGGTTTGATGCATGGCTTGAAGGAAGTGAGATAATGTCACTGGGAGAATGGGACCTGTATAACATTAGTAAACCAAGCAGAGTTCTCCCCTAACTGTCATCCATGCATGCATCTACATCTAGTCTACTATTACACTGACTCTCTGTTGGATAGGTAACCGGAACACATTCCCAAGAAATTGGAGAGCAGTGCATGCACTCTTGTGCCCCCCCCCTCCCTACCCCTCACCCCTCCCTCCCCCTCACCCCTCCCTCCCCCTCACCCTCCCTCCCCCTCACCCCTCCCTCCCCCTCACCCCTCCCTCCCCTCACCCTCCCCCTCCCCTCACCCCTCCCTCCCCCTCACCCCTCCCTCCCCTCACCCTCCCCTCACCCTCCCCTCACCCCTCCCTCCCCCTCACCCCTCCCTCCCCTCACCCTCCCTCACCCCTCCCTCCCCCTCACCCCTCCCTCCCCTCACCCCTCCCTCCCCCTCACCCCTCCCTCCCCTCACCCTCCCCCTCCCCTCACCCCTCCCTCCCCTCACCCTCCCCTCACCCCTCCCTCCCCCTCACCCCTCCTTCCCCCTCACCCTCCCCTCACCCCTCCCTCCCCTCACCCCTCCCTCCCCCTCACCCTCACCTCACCCCTCCCTCCCCTCACCCCTCCCTCCCCCTCAC